CACATTGATTGATTTTCTCCAGGAGGATTTGTCCTCATCCTGGTTCTTCAGGTCTTCCAATAGTATACCCATTGCTACTATAATTAAGTCCATCCGCTTGCTGCTGGTCATCCTCTTCTTCTCTTTCCTTCCATCTTTCACAGCCTTTAGACTTCTCCAGAGAGCTAGGTCTTTGCATAATGTGTCTGAAGTATGATAATTTGAGCCTGGTCATTTGTGCCTCTAGTAAGAATTCCAGGTTAATTTGTTCAGTGATCCATATGTTTGTTTTGTTCACTATCCATGGTATTCTCAGGAGTCTTCTCCAACACCAAAGTTCAAAAGCATCAATACTCTTCTATCCTGTTTCTTCAAAGTAAAGCTTTCACTTCTATAGAGTGTTAAGGGGAAAGCCATTGCCTGCATGATTCTGATCTTTGTTAGGTATAAATGTATCCTGGCATCTGAATATTTTTTCCAGGGCCTTCATTGATTTCAGAGATCTTTTGGAAGACTTTCCTTGTTTTTTGGTGTCTGTTTCCATCTTCAGTGTCTTTACACATATTGGTGTAATACTGCTTCTTATCTCTTTTTACATCTCTCTGAAATTGTTTGCTAAGTTCTTTCCTGAGATCGTTGTCTTTCTTGGCTTTGGCTTCTCTTCTCTTCTTGGCAATTTCAACAGTTTGTTCTGACATCCAGTTTGCTTTCTTGTGCTTCTTGATCTTTGGCAGTCTCTTTTCACGTTCATCCTTAACAACTTATTTCCATTCCTCAGTTCCTTTGGTTCCCGATCAATGATTGGAGCATAAACTTGGATAATCATCATATTAAAGAGTTGTTCATAAAGTCTAATTGATACTAGTTGATCACTGATTACATTGTAACCAAATACTGTTTTTGTTATAGTTAACAACTGTAACTGTAACTATGTCCTGTGTAGTAAAAGATGTGATCTTCTGACAGAAAGTGTCAAATTCCAGTCCATCTCAATTCACTGATGCGTACATTGTCAATGTGTAGTTGATTCATTTCATTATTCACTGTGTTGAGCTTACCCACATTCATGCTTTTTACATTCCATGTTCCCACTGTAGGAACATGGCATTTGTTTGCAGCTTTGGATTTTCTCTTTGCAGCTTTGGATTTTCTTTTCCTAAATGGGGACATCAGCAACTAGATGTCACAAAAGCTTTATTTTAGGCATGTCAGAAATACCTTTACTATTCCAATTCAACACTGGCCCTACACCTAACTGCCTTTTAACTTTGGCATGATTTAGATGAAGCTAATGCAAATAAGGCTACACTTTGTGACACAATCTCATTAAAATCAGATAAAAGAAAACTTAGCTTTTCTTCATCTAAATTGACCTGAGAAATAGTTCACCTGTTTTCACTGTGTTCCTCATAGACAGTTTCCTGTTCACAGACTGATAAATATAGTGGGCAGCATAAAAGTCAGTAGGGTAAATCCTCAGTCTGAGAATGACCACAGAAGAAGTCTTTGACAGAAATTTGTAGTAACAACCATCAATTGCTGCCAGAGACACAGTGGGCAATCTTAAAGCTGCAAATACTTTCCAAGCTTGTAGACTGAAATACTACTCTTTTATAGTCCAGTTTTAACCTCTTATACCAAGCTGAGAAACTAGTTGTAACCATAAGATTCTTTTCCCTCTTAGTCTGAAGCTTTTGAAATTGCCACACAGTATTGAATTGTAGTAACAGAATGACCAGGCTCCCCCTCACCCCACCCCACCCAGCCCCACATAATAGGAAAGAGTCCAGCTCTTTGAATGTTAATCATTACCTTTGGCAATACATTTGAAAAGAGGTTGTGATTGCTTAGAAAATGGAAGATGCACAAAGAATTGTTTTGGGGAGGGAGGTCTTGCTTTGTGTTGAAAAAAGATAATTTGTGTAATCTAATTAGCTAAATCCTTAGCCATAGGCCATTTCCTAATAGGTGGTTGTGTGCAAGAATTATGCTGAGATCTAAGATGATTTAAACATCTTTAAAATGAATAGCTATCCCAAATTAAAAAATGCTTTATTTGGAGTGAGACTTTGAAA